TACACGTGTCATCGGCATAGGTGGTGATGACAGTGTTGGATTGGGTTGGGATGTCAGCTGTATAAACTGTGTAAAGGATAGGACCTAGGATACTACCTTGAGGAACACCGGCAGACTGAGTAAAAAGAGATGAATAAGCATTGTTATGATTGACTTTGAAGTATCTGTCAGTAAGGTAGGAACGTATAATGAGGAAGTATGTAGGTGGTAGGAATTCACGGAGTTTGTACATCAGTCCCGGATGCCAGACTCTATCAAACGCCTGTTCAACGTCGAGAAAGACTCCCGTGCAGTACATTCCGCGCTCCAATGCAGAGGAGACTACATCTACCACACGATGGCATTGCTGAATAGTGGAGTGGGATGTGCGGAATCCAAATTGGTGATCTGGGATAATGTGTTTAGAGTCTAGGATGGGATACAGGCGTTTTAAAATGAGTTTTTCCAGGATTTTGCCCATAATGGGTAAAAGGGAGATAGGACGGTAAGAGGATGGGTGTTCTGGCGGCTTTGTGGGTTTAGGTATCATTTTGACAATGGATAGTTTCCAAGAGTCAGGAAAATATGTGGTGCGGAGTACAGCATTAAATATATAGGTTAGGAACAATATGGCTTTTTTAGGAAGACATTTTAGGATCTGGGAGGTGATTAGGTCATGGCCAGGAGCTTTGCGAGAAGGTAATCTATTAATGATATTGGATATTTCTGAAGGATGAAATGCTTTAGGTGGAGGAGTCAATTGGAGTGGGGTATCCAATTCTGCTTCAATAAACTCAAGGTGGGTTGGATTAAGGATGTCTGGGTGTGGATTAAATGTTTTTGAGAGGTGTTGAGCAAATATTTGAGATTTTTCATCATCAGATCTGGACCAGGTTTGGGTTTCAGTAATAAGTGGGTGGTTAAAATCTTTGAATTTAAGGAGTTTTTTAGTGGTCAACCATAGTGATTTGTCACAAGTAGTAAGTTTTTCTGTCATGTTATGTAAATTTTGAACTTTGTATTTTCTAATTTCAGCTTTTAGTTGGTTAGTTAATTTGTTGTAATATGTCTTATCTGATGGATATCTAGTCCTGTGCCACTTCGATCTTGCTCTGCGTTTTTCCCTTAATAAGATACGAATATGCTGCGGCAAATTTGTCTGTTGGGAGTTGTCAGTTTTATTGGTAGATGTATTATTCTTTATTTTGTCACTTATAGATGTAGTGAGTTCTTTTATGGCTGTGTCAATATCACGTTTCGTCTTAAGTGGAATATTTAGGTCCAATTTATTTTCCAGGTCTTTACGAAAATTGTCCCAGTTTACTCGTCCTGTAATCAGTGTAGGATAGGACGAGGGCTTAGGAGCGAAGGTTGTGTGTAATGAAAGCAGAACTGGAGAATGATCTGAGGAGAGGTCATCCAGGGATTTTATTGTGACATGGGAAGAGGAAATTTGGGAGGTGACAAATATGTCGAGGATATCAGGGCGTTTTTTGAGGGATGTTGGCCAATAGGTAGGATTCATAGGAGAGAGGACAGAGTAACTATTGGAAGTTGAGACAGAAGATAGTATGTTACCACGGGAGTTGGATGATCGACAACCCCATCGTTGGTGTTTAGCATTGTAGTCTCCTCCAGCAATAAAGCGCGATCCGAAGGATTGAAATAAGGATTCAAGTAAGTTATAGGTAAGAGTATGACCGGGAGGACAGTATACAGCTGAGAATGTTAAATGGAAAGGACGAGTTGAAATGATAACCGAGGTTGCTTGAATAGCCTCCGTTGGAGTAGAAGGAATGAGAGAATGGGATAAGGATTTATGGATAAGGATGCAAGAACCGGCATGGGAAGTGTTGTCGGGGTGGTCTGATCTATAAGTGATATAGTCACGTATGTAGAAATATGAACGTCGAGTGAAGTGAGTTTCTGTCAGTAGAGCAATATCAATGTGATAGTCATGAAGAAAAATGTCGAGTTCGTCTCGGTGGTTTTGTAGTCCGTTAGCATTCCATAAAAGAACAGCTAGGGGCTTAGTGCTCATCGTGAGAGATTGAAGGGAATTTCGGTAAGGATTCTTGTGAGGAGGGTAATTAGTGGCTTGATAGTCTCTTGGAGATCTTTCAGGAAGGACGCAAGGGTGGAGTTTATTAAATCGATCGGGTTTTGTTGGTCAGGTTGGTTTTGATTAGGAGTTCGTGAGGGAAAGATCTTATGATAAGGAATGTCTGATGAAGGATGTACCCTTGGAACTTGGGAAGGAGAGTAAATATGAGCAGTAGGGTGGGAATAAACAGGAGTTGGATGTTCGGGCGGTAATTTTTACACGTATAGGTATCTGGTGAGGAGGCATTTGCTGACGTGGAGATTTTGAATGAATGTGGGAGATTTGAGTCTTGGATTGGGAGGTCTGGATCTTAGGTTTGGAAGCCTGAGTCTTAGTTTTGGAAATCTGAGGCGGCTGACGTCGCGGCTGTTGATTCTTCACCGTAGTGTCTGAATATAGGTGCCTAGAGTCTTGATGGGGATGATCTGTTGATGTAGAAGGGTTGTGCGTCAATTGTGGTATTATTTCGTTCGGCAGTTGAGGAAACGCTGCCAAATTTAGGAGTTCAGGTGCCTGTACCTGTGCCTGGGTAGAATTCTTCTGTTCTTCTTTTAATGATAAATTATAAGTTCTTTGCTTATACAGCTTCTTATAGATAATGCAGCCCCGATAGGTTGCAGGGTGGTCCTCACCACAAAGGGCACATTTTGGTGGTTCATTTAACGGTTTCTGGCAGGTGTTAGAGGCGTGAGGCCCGGCGCATTTAACGCAACGCACCGAGTGATGGCAGTAAGCCTTTGTATGCCCTAAGTTTTGGCACTTGGTGCATTGAACGACTATTGGTTTCTGCCTCGGCTCTTCAAATTTTACAACAGAATACAGCAGTCTTTTAACTTCGAAGATTTCTGCATTATTCCGGGCTGGTTCTAGATCGATGAAAAATAATGGCAGTGGATATTTATCAATAGGATGTAAAATAGAAGATATATGTCTTACCGAATGGCCGATATCTTCCAGATCTTTTTTTATAGCGGTAGTGGGTGTGGTAGAGTGAAGACCTCTCAAAACCACTCTATATGTTTTGTCTTCTTTTAGTTGATAGCAGTGGAAGTCGTGATTGAGTGCTGTCAAATGATTTATAAGTTTTTTATAATCTTCTTTAGTATTGGTGTTAATCTTTATATCGTTGACTCGAGAAAAACACCGGAAGTTGGTCGGTCCGATCAGATTAGCTATTTCTTGACCGAACTGAATGAAATTGTCAATCTTGCTTACATAAATCGGAGGTGGCACTGGTTCAGTGAAAGTTCTAGGTTCAGTGATTTCGTTAATTTTATTATTGGCTGTAACAGAATTGTTACTGGATGTGTTAGTTGATGGTTTAGTGTCAGGTTTCATAGCTGAATTATTACTAGTTATTGATTGTTTATTTACTTTGAGAGCTTGCTTTGTTTTAGCGGATTTGTTTTTTTTTTTATTAGGTGAGTTGCCCGCCGAACCGGGGGCAGAGTTTCTATGGCGCTTTTGGAGAGTTCGCCTTGTTAAATATTGAGAATCAGTCTCACTGATTTCGGAGAAAGGAGTCTCTTCATCTGATTCGTCAAAAGAAATGTTCTTATCAGAATCCATACCTCTAAATAATAATATATACAAAAAGAAGAGAGAAAAAAAAAGTATCACTAATAAGAAAATTTACAAAACAAATACTTAATAACTAATCTATTTACAAATATATATACAAATATTAAAAAAAACATTTTTATAAATAAATAAAATAGAGTCTCAGTAGAAAAAAAAATATTAAAATAAAATAATCAATTAAGAAATAAAAACAGAGAAAAAAAAAAAATATACTGTCTTAGGTACGAACTCAAGATATTCTGAACGTAAAATAAAGCGCCGTGACCTTGAATTTGAAAGATAAGACCCGCTGAGGGGAATTATCTGCCACGTAAACTGTCTCTAGCAATCGAGTACCAATTTAATGTTGCTAATTGTTAATAAAAGTCACTCACCTCACTGATTGTAATGTAAAAATGTTAAATTGTTTATAAACTCACTGTTTACAAAGTCTGAGAACAGGATTTGAGATAATAAGCACATAACAAACTAGCAAAGACGGAACGATACGAATATAGAACCTCAGTTTCGGCCATGACACTTACGACTTCAATACAAAACATAAATGTCTAATATCTCGAAAACGCTTGGTATTAGCGTAAAATGGACCTTGCCCTAGCCCCCGTAGGTCTCTAGGAGTGTCCGCAGAAAAAAGTAGGGTGGTTACTGGAAGGTTATAATAGTTGGGAGGATAGAGGAACGCAAGATTTATCATAAATATCTATGATCGGGTAGAATATATCGAAAACTGTTAGTATTAGCTCAAAAAAGGATCTCGCCTAGGAAGAGCTACATGGAGATCCGTAGAATTCCGTGGTTAACGGTTGAAATAAGATTATGTTATATTATGGTCCATATGATGATTGGTACAGTTTACTTTGGATAATTTCACTTCTATATTGTATATACGGATAGATTCCTCTACTATAACTCTTTTGCGATCATAGTGGAAATATTTTATCTCGTTTAACGACATTTAAATCTTTAAATGGATTCACAAATTATTTTGCTTATGTAGCAGTAACGTTGAAGATCCAGTATCACTGGATGTTCATTTCGTGGGGAAAAAGAGTTTCTTCTAGTTTCCATACATTAACTTAACTTTACTAGCTACTGAATTGTACTTCATTAACTGTTATAGATTTTATATTAATCTTATAAATGTATACGATTATTTCTTTAAAATTCACTAATAGTAATGGTCTAATTCATTTTCAAACTTGGAATCACAGATTTGTGCTGTAAAAATAAATTCGAAGGGGTTATCATTAACCAGCTGTAAACAGAAATAACACGATGTTTCTCTGAATTACGCTTAGGAGTAGGGATATTCGAAAAGTGATATTAAATAGATTCATTCAAATAGACATATTTTAATATTTTTAGTGCAGTTCATTTTTCTAAAGATTTGAAGCTGAAAGCATTTATTCCTTCAGGACTTTCATTTTTCAAAAGACTGATGGATCTTAAACAAGATTGACCTTAAAAATACAAAAACAGATTAATTAAGGTTACAATTAATGAGTTTTCAATTACAAATAAAATTAGTGACAGTTAATAACAAATTGATATAAATAAACTTATAAACTTACTTTTAAAAATATATTGTTCTGGACAATGCTGAAAGAAAAAATATTTCGGTTATAATTTAAAAATGTGATTAATAAAACTCTTACACTTATTTATCTCAAATAATCAATAATATTATTAGTACATTATATATTAGATACATTTGTATATATTTGTTTTCCTATTTTTATGAATAAAATTAATTTTTCTATTCCTCTTTTATCTCCGTAAAATAGTGTGGTAGCCAGGGAATATTGATTGTTTTCATTTTTAAATGTTTCTAGCACATTAGTAAACATCGAAAACTGAATTCATTTTTTCCACCAGTTTGTTTATGTATGATAACTAGATCCTCCAATCCAATCTTAGTAACGTTTTGCACCCAGCAATTATTGAAGAGGTACGGGGTGAAAAATGTTGTATGTTATATGTGTTTCTTAACTACAACAATTATAAACACACTGAAGTGTTTCAGAAATAAGTGACTTTCGTTACATTAGACGCGAAACACACTAAGGGTGAGTCTTTATAGATCCCTTTATCTTTAACGTTCCTTACGTCTCCCTTAAAATCTGTATTATGTACAAAGTGTTCCTTTTTCAAGCTCCACATTGTTTCAGATAAATCTTTTTTTTTTTTTAATTCATTGTATTAAGAAGAGGTAGTGAAATTTATACTAAAATATATTATATACTATATATACTCTAAACTTATCTTATTTAGATCAAATACCTCAGCTCACCTTCCTATTTTTATTTATCGTTGATTTATTTTTCTATGTAATTATAATTCCATTTAAAAAAATTTTAATTAGTTAATTATGTATTTTTATGATAACTATTTCAATTAAATTAAAAAACAACACTGCTCGAAAAAATTCATAATCTTTTTAAGAATGTTTATAAATTATGAAGGTTAATAGGTCTGCAAATGTTACCTTTTTCATCATTCAGGTAATATTCTGAGGAGTTATTTTACCGATAGTACACATGGTTCATTGACCATGACTGAATGCATAAAAAGAGCTGTGAACGAACATTTCCAGCAGTTTTTCAACCAAGGGTAACTAAGAAGACATGACTGAGAACCCCAACCCAAAATAGACTAAAACACAGAAGAAAGGGCCTATAACTATTGATGTTTTAATAAATTCATAATTTGGGAGTAGGCTAAAGATAAGTTGTCTTTGTCTGGTTTTAAATTCACTGTCTTTGGCTGAAGCTGAATGTGGAGGGTTTCATAAATGAGTCGTTTATCATGGTTGAGAACTGTGGCAAGGATTGATGTTTTGTCGAAATCAAATGTATGATTGAGGGAGAGAGAATGTTCAGATAATTTGGAGGCGGTAAAATTACGAGAGGATACAGAATATTTATATTGGGTGATGCGGTCTTTCAGGAGATTTTTGGTTTCACCAATATAGGATGAAAAACAATTGGGGGCAGAACATGGAATACGGTAAACGATATGAGAGCGGTGTGAGGGAGGAACAGGATCTTTTAAGGATGTGTATAATTTAGAGAGTGTGTTGTGTGATTTGAATACAAGTCGTAAGCTAGGGTTAGTCGATCATAAAACTTTGTTTATGTTGTCCGAAAGGTTAGGAATATAAGGTAGAGATCTGTATCTAGAGGCCGAAATGGGTTGTGGAGAATTAGTGGAAGTCGAGATTGAGGAAGAGCGATTATTGTGGACTGTTATTAGTTTGTTAATGACATGGAGAAGAAAATTATTGTTTGAAAGGATTTGTTTTATGCGTTTGACATTGGTAGCATGAAATTGGGGATCAGAGAGAGAGAGAGAGAGAGACTGCGGTGGATGAGATTTTTAGCAACGTTAGTTTTCTGGTGGTAGGGATGTTTAGAATGGTAATTTAGAAGTCTGCAAGTATAAGTTGGTTTAGTGTACCAGTCTGTGGATATGGTGTTGTTGGGATTTTTAATGATTAGAAGGTCGAGAAAATGGAGAGAATTATTGAGTTCGCGTTGTACTGTAATTTAGGCGGGTTTGGTAAGAGTTAAAATTTGATAGGATATCGGGAATTTTATTTGGATTGATGATTAGGAGGAGGTCGTCTACGTATTTTCGAATAAATATGATATCGTCTGGCTAAGGACGGATAATGGAGTCTAGAAGATCATTGAGAACTATGTTGGAGATGTCGGGAGCGAGGGGATTACCCATTGCTAGCCCGGAGATTTGGTTAAAAAATTTTCCTTGAAAAGTGAAGTAGCCTGATTTACAGCAAAGATGAAGGGATTCGAGATATGAGGAACGGTTAAGTGAGGTGAGAGGGTCAATGATATTCCAATTTTCGTCTATTATAGTAAGTGCCTTGTCTATAAGTATGTTCGTAAATAAACTTTCAACGTCAAAGGAGCAAAGAATAAAATTGTCTGGAATGGTAAAGGAGAGTAACTGTTCACGGAGATGGAATGAGTTATGTACATCATAAGGGTTGTTGTGGCTTAAGATTTGTAAGGAAGATAGTAAGAATTTGCTAAGTTTAACTGAAGGAGAATTAATATTGGAAGTGATCGGACGGAGTGGGGTGCCGGGTTTATGGATTTTAGGAAGCAACTGAATTGTAGGAGATAAGGTTTCTGTAAGTAGGGTAGTTTATGAGTTTAGAATTTAAAAGATTTTTTAGGTGTATGTTAAATTTGGTTTTAATGATGAGGTGGGATCACGGGATGCAGGAGAGTAAGTTAAACGGTCTGATAAGAATAAGGTCATTTTGTCAGTATATTCTGTATGGTCTATAAATACGGTTGCCTTTATCAGCCCTCGTTATGATTATATTATCGTGGGAATTTAAGAATGATCGGGTAAAAAAGAGAAGTCTTTGAAAAATTCAGGAGAAAAGGAAGAAGAGGAGAACGGTGGGTGTAAGAGATAGTTGGGAATAATGTTGCAGATGGAAACGCGTGACAACTCCTTATTTTCTTTTGAAAAGGTGAAAAAATCGTCTGCGTAAATATATTCGAGGTCAGTTATGAATTGTGGAATGATTTTGACAGAGGTGTTGGGTGTGGAAAAATTAGGTCCTAAACTTAAAATATTGATAACTTTGGAGGGGATGTCTGTGGAAGAGATATTGTCTACCCATTCTCCTTTCTCTGTAGGATAAACTTTATTTTTAAGAGTGACTTGATACACATTTTTGAACTTTGAAATTAGAATAAGTTTCTTCTGTGCTTTAGTGGAATTAAAGATATTGGAAATGCAAATGGAAAGATTATTGACGTCTTCTTGACTGATGTTTTGATTTAAAAATTGGGTGAGAACTGAAATTTGTTTATGGAGAAAATTAATATTTCTATTCACAATATCTTAATTTTACTGTTTATTTCCATTTCGTATATAACTTCATTTTTTTCGGTTTTTACATTTTATTCTAAGATTCCCATTTTAATACTTATGTCACTTTTTTAATATTTTTATTATGTTTATTTCATCATTCCACACTTTGTACCGCTTATTATCATTTATCTCTTCGTTCTTACTATTGTCATTATTCTAACAACTGAATTTTACTTTAATTTTTTTTTACCTACACTACTTATGTTTCTCATACCTTGTTATCTGATTCTTTTCTTAGCCCTGATGATGGCCTGAACTTCAGGTCGAAACGACGGCTAATGTCAAAATAAATAGTATCATTTATTTTTGCCTTCTTATTTGACTGATCACTCCAACTATTCTTCTCTTCATTAAAGTAAACTTTCATATTTGTAAAGTGAAATTAGCTGGCAATAAGGTCAAGACACCAAACTAAAAATAAGTATTCTAATCAAACTACATAACTGGAGACATAATCAAGGCCAATCGTGAACAGTATAAAAAGAGCAACTAATAAATTACCAGACGTTCATAAAACGTTTGTTTTGAATTAAATATATAGTTTTAGAATAAAATACTACAACATTAACATTAACGTTAGAATTATTACTAATAATTATAAAAAAAAGAAACTGATAAATAACATAAATATTGTGTCAATAATACATTATATCTGCTCACACAGAAACAATATGATCATGTGATAAAAGGTAATTATTTTAAAACATAATTTAGAGACAAATTAATTATCAAACTCAAGAGTGAACTGCAATAGTTAAATTATAAGAGAATTTATAAATAGACCACTAAAAATAAATAATTTCTATACTGAAAAATCTCTGCAGAGATAATTTTTTTTTTTATGACGATTTAATATATTTTACTATACCATATTTAGTACTGCAGATTTGCCATATAATACTATTCAGATAAATTTATCATCTACCGATATACGCTATTAGGAAAGGGAAAAATACAAAACAATATTACAAATGAAATAAATAATATAACTATAACATATAAATATAATACAATATAGTAAAAAAGTAAGAAAATAAAGAAAACAACCTTCAATTGCAGTCTTAGGACCACGAAATTTCCAATACATCAAGACGTAGTCAGGATTTTCGATTTCAAAACAGCCTATTACTACGTGGGAAAAATTATATATATATATGTTCATGACTGAGCTGAGAACCCCTGGAATATTGGTGAGATTGATGATTCTAAACGTCGAGTCCTGATACAAGGAGAGGTACCTGTTGGAGTTCGAAAACATTTGCAGCAGAGAGATATTGTTCGATATAGCCCAGGAGAATTTGACGAGGACATCATGTAAAAAAGGATGGGTGTAGGTCGGAACGGATCATAAAATCTTATGGTATGCTGACGATGTAGCTTCTCAAATACATTGAGAAGTTAAAGGGCGTATTTTATAGCATAGACGTTATAGACCACTATTTATGAGGATGACCCTTGTTATTTTAATTTTTTAATAACCCAATAATGAAGTAATAAATCACTGATTGTAAATAACTTGTAAATATCATGCATATAAAAGTGCTAATTTATCTTTTTACTTTAGCTTATCTATATTTGTAATATATAGTAAGGAGAAGTATGACAATCGTTAAAATTTTCGAATTTGAGTTTTCAATGAAAATACACGTTTTGAGCTACACTGAGTCCAAATAACCAAGTCCCGAAAA